TAGAGATCTGCCTGCCTCTGCCTCCCAAGTGCTGGGATTAAAGGTGTGTCCCCCACCCCCACCCTGGTGTAATGTAATTTTTTAATTAAAAAAAGCAGTTAAACATGTTTAAAAACATACTCGACATGTCTTTATAAAAAGATTTCTTTATTTATATCTTATGTGTATGAATGTTTCTCCTGCGTGTTTGTCTGGGCACCACAGTGGTGCCTGTGGAGGCCAGAGGAGGGCCCTGGATCCCTTGGTACTGGAGCTACAGGTGGTTGTTAGCTATGTGGGCGCAGAGTATCAAACCTGGGTCCTCCGGCAAGCACAGCCAGTGCTCTTACCGTGACAAGGGGTCAGTTACCCATCCAGACACACAGGACTGCATCTTGGTCCAGGTCGGGTTTCACCTGTCTCTTCCTGCTGGCTTGTGCACTGCCATACAGACTCTTGACTCTAGGACATGCTGTCCCACCCCTGTGCACTGCCATACAGACTCTTGATTCTAGGACATGCTGTCCCACCCTGCAAGGTCCTTATTTACAAACCATGACAAAGGCAAACTGACAGATGATAAGGAACTCTAAGAGAGAGGGGTGGTTACCATAGAGCAGTGGTTCTCACCCTTTCTAATGCTGTGACCCTTTGACATGGCTCCTCATGTTGTGGGGACCCCAGCCATAAGATTATTTCGTTGCTACTTCATAGCTGTAATTTTGCTGTTGTTATGAAGGTAATGTAAATATCTGATATACACCCCAAAGGGGTTGTGACCCACACAGGTTGAGAACTGCTATCACAGAGGGACTAGACTACCAAATGGCTCAAGCTTTCTTTTCTTTCTTTTTTTTTTTTTTTTTTAAAAAAAAGATTTATTTACTTATTATGTATACAGTGTTCTGCCTGCATGTATGCCTGCAGGCCAGAAGAGGGCACCAGACCTCATTAAGGATGGTTGTGAGCCACCATGTGGTTGCTGGGAATTGAACTCAGGACCTCTAGAAGAACAACCAGTGCTCTTAACCACTGAGCCATCTTTCTAGCCCATCTGGCTCAAGCTTTCTAAACAAAAGCAGAAACAAAAAGCCCCATAGTATGGTACTGACTGACCAAATGTGTAAATACAAATAAAGTAAAAGTTTTAAAGAGAAACAAAGAAAAGAAAGATTTCAGAGCAGTGATGAGATTCAAGAACTCCAGGTTGTCAACCTCACTTAGCTGCTCCCTAAAGATGGGCTGACCTTGGCAAAGAGCCAGATTCCCAGCAGGCCCAGGGATTGTTTTTAGTGCCTTTCCCTCGACACCTCAAGCCCTGAACTCCAGGAGCTGTAGAAGGTGCTGTCATGCTTGGAAGTCACCCCGTGCCAGGGAAGGGTCAGGGCTCTGATACAGCTGAGACCATGCCAACTCCTGGAGAGAGCTGATCCTTTAGTCCATCAGATACAGATCCACAGCACTGTCCCAGCCTGGGCCTCCTCCAGGGCTGCCTGGGCCTGGTTCCACAGTGCCCTTGAAGTGTAGTGGGTAGCCAGTGCTCATCCCTGCCTTGAATTTTCATCCTTGCAGTTGAGGGGAACACAGCAGGCCCGGGGGTGAGCCAGGTTTCAGACCTGAACCTGAAGGCTCTGGCAGCATCTGCTTCCTGTCTTTGGGGATGTTTGCCCTGGGAACCCATGGGAACCAGCCACCACACTGTGAAAGCTGAGCAGCCACACATAGAGAAGACACACAGAGCTGAGGTTCCTGTTGACAGCTGCACTAGCTACCTCATGTGAGTGACAGATGCCCTCAGCCCCAAGCTGTGAGCCAGCCTCGCTTATCTTGCTTTGGAGCAGAGTTGAGCTGACCCCACAGGTACCCCGAGCATCTGCAAGCAGTGTAAAGATTCTCACTGTTGCAGGTCACTAAGACCGGCTGTGTTACAGGCAATATGGATGTGGACCTTTGTCCTTCTCTGGTCTTCCAATATTTCTAGACATATCACCTCTTCATCTTCTCTGCCGCCTCTGCCAAATGGCACACTTCAACATCCTGGTGGGTGTCCTCCCAATTATTTTTATGGTTATAGTCTCGGGCAGTGGTCTGAGAACCTGGCTGTGGTGGTTAATGCCCCCACCACCACCACACACACACCAGACAGGGTCTCTCTGTGTAGCCCTGGCTGTCCTGGAACTCACTCTGTAGTCCAGACTGGCCTCAAACTCAGAGATCCTCCTTCCTCTGTCCAGTGCTGGGACTAAAGGTGTGCGCCACCACACCCAGCTTTGTGGTGGTTAATTTTGATTAAAAAGCATTTAAAGCATTTAGGCCTAGAGCATTAGCTAGTTATACCTTCAGGTGTGTCTGTGAAGTCATTTTCAGAGAGGCCTGGCTGAGAGGGGGCGGCTGACTGGCTGTGGGTAGCACCATTTTGTGGGTTAGCCTAGGGTCACAGACTGGAGAAAAAGGAAAAAGAGAGACAGCTGAGAACCCATGTTCCCTGCTCTCTGCTTCCATGAAAATGTGGGCCATGCCTTCCCAGACACAAAGACAGAACCTGAGACCTGTGAGCCTGAATGAACTGATCAGAAACGCAAATCTTCAGGGTGAACTCAGACCTAAGCAACCAGAAACTTGAGGGCAGGGCCCAATAGTCTTTAAATAAAAGAGTTTTTAAAGTGCGTATGTGTGCACGTGGGTGTGCATGTGTGTACCATCGTGTGGAGATCACAAGACAGCCCAAGGGAGCTGATTTTCTCCTTCCATGTAGGCTGCAGGGACTGTCAGTCCTCAGGAGATTGGAGGCAAGTGCCTTTACCTGCTGAGCCGTGGTGTCAGCCCCCTGCAGCCAATTCTGATCTGTGTATACAAGACCTACAGCACTCTAAGACCCAGGGCAGATCCTAGACTTTCTCCTCCCAGCCCATGCTCCTTTCTGGCAGAAGCTTGTGCTGGTGTAGACTGGGGTCTGTGCTCAAGGTCATGGATGAGTCTTGTTCCCACCAGATCCTGGCACAGAGGGTGCAGCACTATTAACAGAAAAATGGTGCTGGGGTTGGAACCCAGGGCTGTTCAGCGCCACCCACCCATTTGGTGCCATTATTGCATGCCACTACCAAGCCTTGTGCCCCAAGTACCGTGGTGTGGTTAGAGATGTGGGTTGAGAACGGTGGCTTGTCAGCCTCTGGTTGATCATTCCTCCCTGCCCCTTGCGAGAGGAGGTTGAGCAACCTTTTGAGAACACGGAGGCTGCAAAGCTTAGCTTCGTCTCTTCCTCTTCTCTGCCCAGGCGGAGCTTTCACCTGGCGTCCATCGAGCAGCGGGCCAGGCCTTGTTCTCTGAACCTCATGTGTGGGTTCTGAGTCGTATGCTGACCTCCTGATCTGCAAGCTGGGGGCAATGAGGCTCCGTGGGTTCAGGGACTCGGATCGGTGGAGGGAAGGACTTAGACACATGCTGGGTGACTGTGGCACTGTGCTTACCAGTGATGTCCAGGTGAAGAACATTCAGATGAGTGTCCTTGGCAGGAGACAAGGAGTGCAGCCCCATAGTGGATGGGGGCCTGACAAGGCAGAGGGCCTCAGGGTGCCAAGCCCTCCAAATTCTCAGGACACACCACGAGTGTGGCTTTTAACAAAAGCCTACCAGTCTTTAAACATTAGCAGATGGCTACCCTTTTGTTTTGTTGAGGTGGGCTCTCTTATAACTCAGGCAGCATCAAACTCCCTCAGTGCTTGAGAGACTGGCCTTGAACTGCTGATCCCCCTGCTTCTACCACCCAGGTGATAAGATTACAGGCATGTGCTACCTCCTTCAGTGACTGACTACTTTAAAAACCTCAGCTGCTTCTGGAGTCAGATAAATGCCACTGGATGAAACTGAAGGTGTACATGGAAGGGTGTGTGTGTGTGTGTGTGTGTGTGTGTGTGTGGTATGGTTGGCCCTGTGCGGTGCCATGGGTTCCACTGTAGAGAGAGCATGGGCAAGCTCAGCAGCCTTGTCATAGATACAAGACCTATGATTGATGCTGCGCATATCAACTTCACGTGTGAGGAGTGGGCTTTGCTGGATCCTACCCAGAAGAGTCTCTACAAAGATGTGACGTGGGAGACCTACAGTAACCTTACTACTATAGGCATAAGAGAAGTCATACTGAAGGCAAACCCTATGAATGTAGTCAATGTGGTAAAGCCTTTTCACATCAGAGTCATCTCTACATTCATAAAAGAATCCATACTGGAGAGAAACCCTATGAATGTAATCAGTGTGGAAAAGCCTTTTCACAATGGAGTCAGCTCCACATTCATAAAAGAACCCACACTGGAGCGAATACCCACTACCGTGTGTGTGTGTGTGTGTGTGTGTGTGTGTGTGTGTGGTGTTGCTTCCTCTGTCATCCGTAGAACAACCTGCTTCAAAGTCAGGTTTCCCTCAGTAGGTCTCAAATACCCTAAGAGCAAACCCCAAATGCTGACTCTTACTTTCAATTCTCTGAGTCCCCCCACTGCCTGGGGATGGGCTTTTCTCGTCACAGCTGTGCAGGGTGATGAGCACTTACCTTCTAACTGAAGGAGTCTGGTAAGTCCCTATCCCATCCCACCCCACCCCCACCCCACAAACTCTTCCACCCACCTGTCGGCCCAGGTGGGACTGGGTTCTCTGGGGGGTTAAAAGCAAGGCCCTGGGGGCCTCTCCTCTTAGTTGTTGGTGGAGCCTTGTCATGGCCACTGCGGACGCTGTGAGTCTACCTGCCTGCCTGCCTGTCCCAGAGCCATTGACTAGCTGGGGTGAAGAAAATGGGGACAGGGGTCAGCTAGAACCAGGGCTTACAGATCACAGTTTGTTTTTCGTTTTTGTTTAATTTTCCAGGCAGGGTTTCTCCATGCAGCCCTGGCTGTCCTGGAACTCACTCTGTAGACCAGGCTGTCCTGGAACTCACAGAGATCCGCCTGTCTCTGCCTCCCCAGTGCTGGGATGAAAGGGGTGCGCCACCGCCGCCCCAGCTCTGGCTCAGTCTTATTCTTTTCTCTGGTCAGACAGTCAAAGCTGAGGGTGCAGAGTACTGGAGGAAGGAGGTGGAGGAAGAAAACTCACCAGAAGCGGCTGCGGCGGTCCTGCCGGGAGGAGAAGCCAGAGACCTTCCTGCACCCCTTCAGACTCAGAGGAGGAAGGCTGACGGAGAATGCCCACTCGAGGTCCTGAGAGAGCAGCATCCCCTGCAGTACAGGTAGGAAGGCCACAGAGACACAGCCCTGTGTGAGGCCAGTGTCTGTGCCCCTTGAGCTGCCTGAGACCCTCGGATCCTGCCTCCTACTCAGTGGACTTTTAAAAAATGTATGTATGCATGAATATGAGTGCTCTATCTTCCTGTATGTCTGCATGACAGAAGAGGGCATCAGATCCCATTATAGACGGTTGTGAGCCACCATGTGGTTGCTGGGACTCGAGCTCAGGACCTCTGGAAGGGCAGCCAGTGCTCTTAACTACTGAGCCGCCTCTCCAGCTCTCGGTGGACTTAAATACCCTCTCACCCAGCCTGCAGGGCTAACTGGCTTCCATACTTTGGGGGCTATGTCTCAAATCTCACCCCCTACTTTACAAGCATGTTAACCAGGTGTGCAGAGGTGTCCGTTATGTGGGTCTTGACCCTCCTCTCTCCTCATTCCCCAGGTGGGCTCTGTGGTTCTTCAGGAATGACCGAAGCCGAGCCTGGCAGGACAACCTGCAGCTAGTCACCAAGTTGAACACTGTGGAGGACTTCTGGGCGTGAGTGTCTGCCCTCAGGGGCTCTGAGCTTTGGGTCAAAGGCATCATAACCTGCCACCTTCTCAGGGGTTTGTCAACATTTGCTGGGAGCTGGGGGTTGGTAGTTTCTGGCCACACACCCCCCAACCCTTCCTCTCCCGCAAAGCTCCTCAGGCCAGGGAGAGGCAGGGGCGAACCCCACTACTCCATGCCTTTGTGACCCTGACCGGGTTCCTTTCTCTCTGGAAAGCTGGCTCAACCACAGTAAGGATTAGGCTGCTGCTTTAGCATTTATGTGCTAGAGAGAGCTGAGAAAGGCCACACAAACCCAAGGAAGAGGCCCAGCTGGAATGCCCTACTGGTGTGGACTTGATCAGACTTTCTTAGTTGGGTCAGGTTCTCAGAGAAGAGATTCCAGGCAGCAGGGCCCAGGTGGTGTGTGGAGCGGGTGGGGAGGCCCTGGGAGAAAGGAAGCAGGTGGTGGGAAGGTAAGTCTGGTGAGGATTTGGCAAATCAGGGTCAGGTGAACCATGGGCTGCAAAGCCTTGAGCTCTGGGTGGGGTCTTTCCAGGACGTACAGCCACATCAAGTTGGCCAGTAAGCTCTCCTCTGGCTGCGACTACGCTCTGTTCAAGGTAGGCTCTGCTCAAGGGACTGATTCCAGGGCTTTCCCCTCATGGATGGCTGGGTTGTGGGCAGCTATGGATGCTTGAGTCTGGAGGGAAGAGGGTCTCAAGGATGGAGCCCAGGCTCTTTTGGCCTGCCTTCTAAACTAGCATGAACATCAAAGTTGTGTGTGCCGGGGGTGTGGGGAGCATTCCTTATGTGCAGTCTCATCTTGGAGGTACTACCATCAGCATTTAGAGGTTTCTGGGTGTCTTCTGCCCAGTAAGGTTTGGGGACCACACAGCCAAGCCTGGGGTGTCTACCCTAGCCCACAGAAATTCTGACCCAGAGGCACCCTGTTCAGTAAAGGTGAGAAGCCCACAGATAAGTTTGCAAAAGGTGGCAACAGTGAGGCTCAGTTTCTTGTGGGGTTTGGGAAGGGCCATGTTGGAGGCTGAGTGCCTGGAGGCAGCCGCTGCTTGTGCAGAGGGCATGTAGGTAAGAAGCAGGCCTAGTTAAGGCCTGGGTACAGAGCAGACAAGGCTGTGTGCAGGGGGGCTTGGTGCGCACTTTCTTTTAAACCAAAGGAGGCCGTGGATCTGCCACTCCTCACAGGACGGCATCCAGCCCATGTGGGAGGACAACAGGAACAAGCGAGGTGGCCGCTGGCTGCTCAGTCTTGCCAAACAACAGCGCCACATTGAACTGGACCGTCTGTGGCTGGAGACGGTGAGCGGCGGGAAGGGCGCAGGTGTGGGCCTTCAGGAGGGGGTGGTCTCAAAGCTGGTGGGGTGGACCCTGCATCCAGGCTGGACCACCTACCATTCCTTCTGGTCCCAGCTGCTGTGTCTGCTCGGGGAGAGTTTTGAGGAGTACAGCAAGGAGGTGTGTGGGGCTGTCGTCAACATCCGCGCCAAGGGAGACAAGATCGCCCTGTGGACCAGTGAGGCGGAGAACCAGGCGGGAGTGATGCACATCGGGTGAGCCTCTCTGCATGGGTTTTGGGGGCTGGGTGGGTGGTGGCCTGGCCTGCAAAGGAGACCTCCGGAACCCTCCGTACTGGCTCTCCCTTATTCCTTACCCACTTGGATAAAAGGAGTTGGAATGGAGATTCAAACCACTTTAAAGAAGTTTTCATTTTCACGGGAGGGTTCTGTGGGTGCTGGTCTTATCTGTGAGTAAGACATGTAAAACAGGTGAGACTGTGGCATCTGAATGAAAGAGCTGGGGCTAGATTACATCTGCCATCTTTCCCCTGTCTCCTACTCCAGGCATGTGTACAAGGAGCGTCTGGGCCTCTCTACGAAGACTATCATTGGGTACCAGGCCCACACAGACACTGCTGCTAAGAGCAATTCCTTAGCCAAGAACAAGTTTGTGGTGTGAGGCAGACTTCAGCCACCACTCATGGGATGCCCTCTTACTGCTGTTTGGTGCACAGGGAAGACTAAACTGTGGGCCCTGGGGCCACAACTTGGCTCTCTACCTGTCCTGGAACACACATAAGCACCCTCACCCCTTAGATAAGGTCTCACTATGTTGCCCAGGTTAACTTCGTATTTTTTACCTTAAGACATCCTCCTGCTCCAGACTAAATAACTGGGATTACAGGAGCTCACCATTGTCTCTGGATTCATAATAGTGTTCTTCAACATTTGTTGGGCCCAGTCCTTGTGGCAGCTGGCCAATACTTATAAACCACGCTCGATCCCTAGCTCTGTGTGTGGCCATTTGGCAAAGGCAGGGTGAAGCAAAGTCCTGGCTCAACCCCGCCAAATGAGGACAGGAGAATCCCGTGGCCAACACTTCTCTGTGCCTGCCTGGGAAGAGGACTGGGTGGCCCGAGGCAGGCTCTTCTGTCTTGGGAGATGTTAAGAGTAGTTCAGTTCTTTGTAAGCACAAACTTATGGGTTTGTAGTTTGGGTGCCCATCCTAAACCCTGTCCCTTCCCTAGACCAGCTGTGACTTGGTCCTAGAATCGACTGCCCTCCCTACCCACTATACCCCAAGTACTGGAGTAAGTTAGAGGGAAAACATTGAGATTTGTAAAGACAGGTGAGTTGAGCTCTGGGGACCGAGAACGCCTGCACAGTCCTATCAAGACAGGATGAGGGTCCAGTGGGTTCTGTGTCTCCTGCCTTAGGGCGGGCTGAAGTACATCAGTGGATACACCATAGCACCATGAAGAAATTACTGACGTTTGTGCCTCACCATGATTTTGTTAGAAGGGGGTCTACTTGAGGCTAATGACACTTAGGCCCTTTTTGTATCTGTTCTAAAATACTTTGGAATAAACGTGGAGTTTAAATATTTAAGATCTAGGCTTCCCTAAATCTGGATCTGTCCTGTCCTGCTTCAAAAGGACTCCAGTGAGTCCCAGGTACCAAGGAAACCGGGGAAAGCCCTACTTGCTATGGGAAGGGGCTATGATAGAAATAGGCAAAATGGAACAGGCATGGCATTCCAGCCCCAGGTCTTGATGTGATTATATTCAACTCCACAGTTTTAGATGTTTGGCAATGTCCATTGGTCCCACCATCCCCAACCGCTCATCCCTGGAGATGGACTCCACTGTTCTGAGCCTTAGACTGGAGGTCCAGGGTCTTCACACTTGGCTCACCAGCGCTGATGGCTGGCTCATCTGGAGCCTCTGGAGGAATGGGGGCGCTTGCTGCAATGGCAGGTCGGAGGGAGATGAAGAGTGAGGGCTCCTCAGAGGTGGGGTTGGTCTGGCTGAAGGTGTAGCCAGAGCTTGGCCCAGAAAGTCTTGGGGAGGAGTGAGGGGACCGGGGAGGGGACGAAGTCTGGGGCGTGGCTCCAAGGAGGAGGAGCGTGGCTCAGAACTGAGGCTGACTAGGGTGGAGCTCCAGAAGGACCGAGGTCGATTGGGGGCGGAGTCTGGGCGGATCAGAGGCGGGGCCCGGTTTAGAGGCGGGGCTCGGAGAGCAGCGGCTGGCTAGGGGCAGTCTTGGGCGGGGCATGGGCGGGGTTTCGGGAGGACCGTGGCTAGGCCTGGACAGAGCCTGGGAGCGCAAGCCCGGCTGTGGGGGCGGAGTCGTGGGCATGGGCGGGGCTCCGGGAGGACAGACCCTGGCTGGGACGGGGGCGTGGGCGGAGCTCCGTGAAGACCGAGCCGTGCTGGGGCGGGGCGTGGGCGGACTCCGTGGGCGGGCCCGGAACGCGGTGGGGAGGCGGGGTCGGGTGAGGGCACCGCACTCCGGGTGTGGCGGTCCGAGCGCCGGGGGCGGCGCCACGGCGGGCGGGGCGGCCGGCGCGCTGTGTGGCCTTGGCCATGAAGCCGCAGCCACCGGGCTAGGCCCGGGGCGGCTCCAGGCCTGGGCGGCCCGCAGAGGGCTGGGCCGGTCCCCGGCTCCGGTTCCCGGGGCGGCGGGTGGCCACTCACCATGCCAGGCAAGCACCAGCATTTCCAGGACCCCGAAGTCGGCTGCTGCGGGAAATATTTCCTGTTTGGCTTCAACATTGTCTTCTGGGTGAGCGCGGGGTCCGCTTCGTGCCCTGCGCTGGGGAGGGGGGCGAGACAGCCTCTGTTTCTGGGCGGGGGGAGTCCCTCCCCAGGAACTTGCGACCGGGGACTGTTCCTGACTCCTTCCACCCCATTCCCAGTCCTTAAGAACTACTCTGAGGGAGCTACTGGGATTACTGGGGGGGCGGGACCCAGTCCCAGCAGGGTAGGTTTGGGAGTCTTGCGTTGCAGCCCCAAGTTTGGGCGAAAAAGGGGGCGGCGTTTGTCGGAAGACTGCAGGGGCGCGGTAGTTGCGGGATGAGCCCCGCCCCACCTCCTGGCCACGCCAGCTCCCGGCATGGTGCGTAAGGTTCCTGCGGTTGGGTCCTAGCCCTAGTCTACCCCAAGGAAGAGAAGCTTGTGAGCCAGGAGGGCAGGAAGTGACAAAAGCCTAGGCCTCTGTGGCCGAGGGAGAAAGAGCTCGGGTTGAGAGCAGGGAGCTGTCCCTCGGGAACAGAATTCAGCATTCCATAGCTGACAGAAGAGAGGCTTCCCTCCCAGGGTGGCGTCTGTGTCCTGGCCCTGCCAAGTCATCTTTCTTTTCTTCCTCCCCCATCCTATCGCCAAAGCGGGCTCCGCATGCTCCCTTTCATGCCAGGCCTTTCCAACTTGTTCTCAGCAGGATTCAAGGACTCTGTTCTCCACCCACGTGCTGCCGGGGTTGCCTTGTGGTGGGTGCCCTTGGATCTCAGCAGCCCTCTGCCCTGGAGGGTATGGGCAGCTGCAGGGAGCCCTGCCCTGGAAGTGTAGCCGGCCTTGTCCGGAGGCTTTTGGGCCAGCCACCTTTACTCTCTGGGCCTCAGCTTGCCAGCCTAGGAGTGGGGGTATTGGAGTTTGTCCTTCCTGGTTGTTGGATTAAATAATGGTTTTTGTTGTGGAGACAGGGCTACTCTGTAGACCCTCTTGGCTTGGAAGTTGCTGTCTGAGCGTCCTGAGTGCTGGGATTACAGGTGTGAGCCACCACACCGAGTTTCCTATTAAAGGAGTTCTAATGAGGCACATTCTCCCAACTACCTTATTATTATCTATAGTTTACAGATAGGGGACTGAATGAATAGACACCAAGAGATTAAGTCATTTGCTGAGAGTGACAGATGCTTATCAGTGGCTGGAGGTAAGGCAGAGGAGCAAGCTGAGGTAACTCAGTGTGTGTGGGGGGTTGGGGAAGGCAGATCTATCTTATAGTCCTGGCTTTGTTCCAGGGTCTGGGCAGGGGTGTGAAGGTGGGCAGAACATTGAGGTCCTGAGCTTGGGCAGCATGGAGCAGTCAGGGCTTCAGAGCAGAACTAGGTCAGCTCTAGCTGACTGCAGGTATATGGAAGGGTGACAGAGGATCTGGAAGTGGGGAGGGGTCTGGGACCTTGAACTCCTGATGTTCCACCCCCAAGTGTGGGGATTATAGGTCTGTACCACTCTTCCTGGCTCTACCCATGCCATCTGGACACCAGCTACAGACTCCTTATCTGGGCAGCCTGTGTTCCCTAAATCACCTCAGTCTTTCTCATTATCTTGCCTCGGTTCCTTGCTTGGAGAGCCATGATTGTCAAGGCCAACCACCCTCTCATCCCTGACCCCGGGCAGCTCCTTAGACATGCAGTCTTTGAGGGACACACCATTGGAGTAGAGAGACACTATCCACTTTTTACCTCCACCTACCCTTTCCTTCCCTGGTCCTGGGTTCTCCCTGGAAATGCCTTCCCTGTGCTGGGGGTGGGGGCATGCAACCAAACATCACTTCTCCAGCCCCATCCCATCTGATCTATCTCATCTTTGGACAAGAGACCAGCTAATGTTTTATTTTTCCCAAACCCCATTCCCCCACCTCCTCCTCTTCCTCTCCTCTTCCTCCTCCTCCTCCTCCTCCTCCTCCTCCTCCTCCTCCTCCTCCTCCTCCTCCTTTTCTCGCTTTCCCAGCCTCCTGCTCGGACCCCTCTCCCCCATCTTTGCCCTTCATCCTGGGTTCCAGCCTTAACCTAATAGCCTCCTTCCTTTCCACAGTCATTTTCAGCTTGTTGGGACACTGGCATCTCCCTGGCTCCAGACCATTACATCTCCTCTCCAGTTTCAGACACCTCAGTGTCCTAGGCACACCAGAGAACAGGCCAGACCTACTCTTGGCCCCATATTGCTTATCCATACATAGAGGAAATACTGAGCAACTGAACAGATATCCAGATGGCTGGAGAGGGTGGTGGGCTTCAGCTGGGGTTTGAGTGGCAAGGAGGCATGAGAGGGAGAGAAGAGTTCTGGGTAGAGCACCCAGAAAAGGCTAAGATCCCATGGTCATCTTCAGCTACATCATGAGTTAGAGGCTAGCCAGCCTTGGCTACACTGAGACCCTGTCTTAATTAAACCAAACCAAAACAAAACAAAACAAAGGCACAAGTATACCTGAGGCCAGATGCTTTCTGAGTCTGGGGGGCCTTTCAGCAGGATTCTGCTCTATATGGAGAGTCCTTGGAGAGTCCAGGAAGGGGCTGATGTCCAGTCTGAGGCATGAGGTAGCTTCAGTTCCTCTAGCTAGCCTAGGGGAAAGACTCCCTGAAAGGTATCCTAGGTAGGTGCTCCACCAGGTCCCATTCACAGCCTGGGCCCTTTCCCCTCAGCTTCCTAATGGTCTTCAGGGAAGGGGTGTGAGGAAGAGTCCCTGTGCTGGTGTCCAGCTCGGAACTCTTGCTGCTTTTGCAGGTTCTGGGAGCCCTGTTCCTGGCCATCGGCTTCTGGGCTTGGGGCGAGAAGGTAAGAGAGTGTCGCCCAAGGGTGAGGTGGGAGCACAGTCACTCCCTCATGCTGTCCACTCCCCTGTTGCAGGGTGTTCTCTCCAACATCTCGGCGCTGACAGATCTAGGAGGTCTAGATCCTGTGTGGCTGTTTGTGGTGGTTGGGGGTGTAATGTCGGTGCTGGGCTTCGCTGGCTGCATTGGTGCCCTCCGGGAAAACACCTTCCTGCTGAAGTTTGTAAGTGTCTCTCTACCCCAGATACACTGGAGACCCCTAACCTCTTTCCAGTCAGTTCTTGCCTAGGTCTGGTGACCAGATAGGGAATAGGTAAAACCATGCTGTCTTTTGTCAACACAAGACAGCGTTAAAGAGCAGGGAGCAAGCTCAGTGGTAGAGCACTTGCCTAGCACGCACAGGGCTCTGGGTTCCATACTGCAGGGCTGGGAGGGGGCAGCACTCAAATAATAGTGGGTAGATACTGGAGACTGCAACTCCCTTGGGTCTTGGCAGAGGTAGCTGCCAAAAAGGAAGCTCTTGCCTGTGGAGCCCCCAGAGCTCTGCCTCTCCATTGCCTACTATCTGTATGCCTCCAACCCAGTTCTCTGTGTTCCTCGGCCTCATCTTCTTCCTGGAGCTGGCGACAGGGATCCTGGCCTTTGTCTTCAAGGACTGGATTCGAGACCAACTCAATCTCTTCATCAACAGTAATGTCAAAGCCTACCGGGATGATATTGACCTTCAGAACCTTATCGACTTTGCTCAGGAATATGTGAGTGTGATATCCATCGTGGGCCCCATGCAAGCAATCCCCTATGAGCACTCGAGAGAAACAGCAAATTTTCTGTGTGCATGCATCACTTCCTCACTCACCCAGGCCAGCAAATGCCAGGGAAGGCACTTAGGAGAGCCCTGTGCCAGGAGAAGCCAGCTCCTGCTTATTACCCAGGCTTCCTCATGCCTAGCTTCTTAGGGACCCAGGTGTGTGAAGCTGTGGCCAGAGGAGGAAATGGCATGTACAAAGCATATTTCTCTTTCTCCTCAGTCTGGGCCCAGAGTGTCTGCAGGGGCTGTGTTGCTGATGCCCCAGTACTGTGCCTCAAATTTTGCACAATAGTACAGCTTCCAGCTCAGCCACTTAGGTTTGGTGACAGGCACTCTTTGAGAAATGCATTGCTGGATGACTTTGTCCTTGTGCAGACATCAGAGCAAAATCTAGCAACATAGTTGCTTAGTTTCTTTTTTCAATTTTATTTATTTTGTGTGTATGGGTGTTTTGCCTGGACACATGTGTGTCTGGTACCTGAAGAGGCCAGGAGAGGGCATTGGATCCTTAGATCTGAAGTTACAGATAGTTGTGAGCCACCATATTGGTGCTGGGAATTGAACCTGGGTCCTCAAAAAAAGCAGCCAGTGTTCTTAACCACTGATCTGCCTCTCCAGCTGGAGCATAGTTGCTTATTTTCATCAAGTATTGTGCACTGTCTATAATTAAAAGCTCTGCACTTAAAGCCATGAAACCCTTCCCACCTGTACATTCCAATCCTGACAATTCCTTAGGGCCACACCCTGTCACACCCAGTCACCTTATCAAGGTTTGGCACTGGGATTCTGCGGTGCTTTGGAGCTGCCCAGGGCAGAAGCAGTCATGTAGCCTGAAGTTCCCTGTGCTTTCTTTCTCTATTCAGTATGGAACTGGGACAGGCCCTGAGCCAGGTGCGGGGAGATTCAGTGTTTTTAAAATGTGCAGCCTGTTCTCTTCGTGATGGCAATGTCGTGGGGGACGGTGATGCACATACAAAATGGGGCTATGGGGCGGGGGGGGGGGGGGGGGGGAGAGTCAGGGTAAGCGGGGAGAAGAGAGCACACCGTGGCCAGGGCTGAAATGGAGAACTAGTGAGGGGGAGCCCCTGCACGGTGACCTTGACACCTCCCTGAGGAGGGGAAGGAATCAGTGGGCGGTGTGAAGAACAGGACTGTCCCCAGCAGGGACAGCAGACTCTTAGCAGGTGATGGGCAGATGCTGGCTCAGTGGTGTCGTCTGAGACCTGCACACAGCGCATGGCCAGGCGTCCTGCCCCTGGCTCTGTCACAGGGCCTGTGTCTGACACCGGAGCCATCTCACGCTCATCCTGGAGCTTCCCCAGCCCTCACAGCCATCTTTTCCGGGGCTGGGACAGTCCGCCCAGGGCTCTGCACTGTCACACATTATGCCCCTGCACTGCGAACTTGGCCTTGCCATGGCAACATCTGGGGAGGGGCGCTGTGACTTCAGCATGATGCCAGCAGGCATTTGCAGAGTGGATTGGGATGGGAAAGCTGGCCGGGCTCCTCTCCTGTCCCTGCAGTGAAGGTTTTGCAAAATCCGAGCAAGTGTGCAGACCCCGTGCAGATATGAGGATCTGTGGTGCCTCTGTCCCCTCAGGGTTTGGTCTTGCTCCTGCCCCTCAGTCCACGAGGAGGCCACAGCCTTCAAGCAGTGTCTCACTTCTCAGTCACCTACCCACTCGGATTCCTGGGGCCTCAGGCCTGTCTGCTGGGAGGGACTGGAGTTGCCCCTTCCAGCCAGCCCGCGCTCTCCTTTGGGTTTGCCCAAACAGGGAGGGTGAGGCTCTCGAGTTTGGCCTGGTTGCCAGCTGTGTACCCCTAAACCGCAGGCTCTTCTCTCTCCCTAGTGGTCTTGCTGTGGTGCCCGAGGGCCCAATGACTGGAACCTCAATATCTACTTCAACTGCACTGACTTGAACCCAAGCCGCGAGCGCTGTGGGGTGCCCTTTTCCTGCTGTGTTAGGGATCCTGCGGTAAGTGGGGCCCTGGGAGGAGGCAGGATCCCTAAGCAGTAGGAGGTGCATGTCAGTGTGCTCTGGTGTCCATGGGAGAGCTAAGAAGTCTGGAGTGTTGCTGCAGATGAGTGGGCATGGCACAACCCAAGCTTCCACTTGCTTTTCTGTGAAAGAGGAGCATTTTAGTTCAGGATCCAGCGAGACCATGGGTGTTCCCTTAGCATATTGCTAATGGCCTGTCTCCCCCTCAGGAAGATGTCCTCAATACCCAGTGTGGCTATGACATCCGACTCAAACTGGTAAGAGGGGCGGGGACAGGGTTGAGGGTACCTTGGATACAGGGGTGGCATGAGGGCCTCTCATAAGCTCTTTTGGTAGGTCTCAGGGCTTCTGTGGGGTAGAACTGGCCCCGGTGGGTCTGAGGTCTTGGATTGTTCATCCCATCTCTGTGCACCTGCTGTGGTTGACATTGCTCACTCAGCCAGTGCTAATGGATTGTCTTGGTGATCCAGTGCTAATGGATTGTCTTGGTGATCCAGTGCTAATGGATTGTCTTGGTGATCCAGTGCTAATGGCTTGTCTTGGTGATCCAGTGCTAATGGCTTGTCTTGGTGATCCAGTGCTAATGGCTTGTCTTGGTGATCCAGTGCTAATGGCTTGTCTTGGTGATCCAGTGCTAATGGCTTGTCTTGGTGATCCAGTGCGAATGGATTGTCTTGGTGATCTAGTGCGAATGGATTGTCTTGGTGATCCAGTGCTAATGGCTTGTCTTGGTGATCCAGTGCTAATGGCTTGTCTTGGTGATCCAGTGCGAATGGATTGTCTTGGTGATCCAGTGCGAATGGCTTGTCTCTGAACTCAAGGAAAGGAGAGGAAACAGTAAACGTGTAGACACATTAATATGGACAGTCATGAGAACTTGGGAGGTTGATAAGGCAGGGTCTGTGTGCTCAGGGAAAGCCTCTTCAGAGCAGAGAGCCAGGCTAAGACCCTAGGAGAAGCAGCCATCTGTGCAAAGGCCCTGTGGCAGAATTCCAGGGAACAGACATTGTTGGGGAGGACACTGGAGTGGGATGGGCTTGGGAAGAGGGAAGAGGGAAGAGGTATAGATCTGAGCTGAGGCCCACAGCAGCAGGAAGGCTGAGTCTTGGTCCTGTGTGTCCTCAGGAGCTTGAACAGCAGGGCTCCATCTACACCAAAGGCTGTGTGGGCCAGTTTGAGAAGTGGCTGCAAGACAACCTGATTGTGGTGGCCGGGGTCTTGGTGGGCATTGCCCTCCTCCAGGTACAGCCTTGGCTTGCTTGCCCTCCTCCTGCCCAGAGCCTTCTGCTCTTCCTTACTCACTCTCTGTCTTACAGATATTTGGCATCTGCTTGGCCCAGAACCTCGTGAGTGACATCAAGGCAGTGAAGGCCAACTGGTGAGGCTGCCAGGGGTGATGGCCACACATCTGGCCTGATGGGCCTCTGGTGGGGGCCTCTTAGGACGCTCTGCTTCGCTCACAATGGCGAGGCCCGTGGGGCATCTGCCATGACCCGAGCCCCGAGGCTTTGTGATAGGGTGCGCGTTGCCCACTGGGGAGCCCACGGGGCTGTTTGCCACAGAGCTCTGTGTGTGGGGTGTGTGTATGTGTGTGTGCGCGTGCATACTCGTAAGTGCTCCCGGAGTCGCCATCCTGCTGCTGTGAGGTAATGGCCCTTCCAGGGCTCTACAGGAAGATGTAGTAGGCGGGTAGGGAATGTACCTCTGTCCCCTGGTCTACCGTGGGGTGTATCTGTGTGTGGCTGTGGGGTGGGCTTATGAGCCCGCTGTTTCCACCCTCCCCTTAGTCGATGTGACCTTGAGCCTGCCAGGAAGCCCGCCTTGGTCTCAATGTCACAGCCTCTGAAATGAGTCCAAGAATTTTCTCTCTCCCTTGCCTCTCAGGATCAGCCATGGTGATGGCTACAAACTACTCAATAAACAGCACTTTGAAAAACAGTGGCTTATACTCACCATCTTCGAAGGTTCTGTTGGCAGCACGGCCTCAGGGCTCTCCAGTGAGGGCCCCGGCCTGCACCCAACCGCCTAACAAGGTCTCACAGGTCTGGGTGACTTACGCACCTGAGATAGCCTTTTAAGTGGGTGTATTGCCTTAAAGCCCACATCTCCTGCTTCTCCTGAAGAGTGACTGTGTGGCCACACCAGCTTCTCAGTGTCATCGTCATCTACAGCAGGACATAGAGACACCTCAGCTGGCCTGTTCTGTGTACCTGACCCCCAGCATCTGAGAGTTGACCTTTCCAACCCCTGTGGATTACTCCTGGAAAACACCTCAGGGCTTCTGTGTTTCAGCCTCAAGAAAGGCAAAAGGATCTGAAGAGTGGGGTACTGGAGTTCACCCCTGAGAGGGTGTAGCCTGGTGGCTCCTAGTTGTGCTGGGCACTGAGGTGGGTGGCAGAAGGTCCAGAAGAGTGGCTGAGTAGTGGGAGGAGGGCAAGAAGGTCGTGCAAAAGGAGTGCCTGGAAGCCCACAGCTTGGCATCTATGAGGGTGAAGTGAGTCTATTTTGGGGTCCACCAGCTGTTGGTTTAAAAATCTTCTCCATGACCTGCAGTGGTGCCTTGAGGCCACCAGAGGGCACATCAACACCACAGTCTCTGCATCTGGCTTTCCTCACACCCTCACCTCAGTACCTACCCTGCTTACACTGAGTGGCTTGCAAACTTCTAAAGAAGCAAACCAGCTCAGGCTTAGGCGATCTGGCTGCCCAAAGGGCTAGTATGTGTGAAATGACCATTTTCTCCCCTTTCCCTGTGCTGTTTCAAAGGTCGCAGCTCTGGTGCCCTCTGTTCCCTCGGTGAGTTACAGTGAGTGTAACAGAGTAGTGGGATCTGATCTGCCTTGGTCTTGATTAGCACTGGAGACCAGACAGAGGGAGACGGAGGTTCTGTGATGATGAAATATCTATGTGCAATCTGGATGATGATAATGACCTGCTTGGGAGTACAGGGGAATACAGTGGGCACTGTGTCGAGACAGGTCCTCACCCACAGGTGCTGACTGCTGTTCAGTTGTAGCAAATTGCTGTGGTGTGGGAATGTAGGGCTGACAGCAGAAATCTCAGAGAAGCTGGGAATCTGCGGCTCTTTAAGATAGCCAGATTTTAACTCAAACCTGCAGGCATCACTGAGATCCTGGAGCCCAGCCTCAGCTCCTGTGTCAGCATCAAGCACAGTGGCCCTGACTACTAAGCCCTGTGAGGGTGCTGGGAGCTGCAGCCACGGAGGCTGACCAGGCAGTGTGCCCCTGGTTGCCTTGTCCCCTGGCATGGGCTGCACAGAGCTCTTGGTGGCACCGGCTATAGTGGTGTGTACACGGCAATAAATACAGCTCAAAAAGCATTGTTTTTCTCATTTCAGATGGTTTCATTTCTCCCTCAAAGCTCGCAACGCCCTTGTGAATTGCAGTTTCTTTTTCTGATGAGGAAACAGACTCAGAGGGGAGGGAGGCTGCCTAGAGCATACAAGGCACGCAGATCCTACCGCCCCCTTGTGCCGAAGTTTGGCATTGCATGTGTCTTCTTGATGGGTCTGGTGAGACTTGTACACTGAACTAGCAACCAGTGAAGGGTGTAAAGTTATCTTTATCCCCAAAGGCGAGATCTGAATCTACCTAGGTACTCGTGGCACAGGAGGGGGAGAGGCAAAGTCCCTACCCCGTGCTGCCTCCTCATGGGGGAGACAGACGGTGAGGAGGCAGCATTTTTGTTGGTAATGTGTGCTATGGAGATGAGTGACAGCTGGGGAGCCTGGGTGGAGGGTTGGGAAGGATGCCATCTCTGGGGAACAGTGATCTCGGTTTTGGCGACAGCTTCTATAAGGCCGTGGTGGGCTTGGTGTGAGGGGGCTGGGATGGTAGGAGGTGGGACTGGGTGAAGAGCAGGAACACAGGCACAGGAAACGAAGGTGCCAGGGTATGGCAACCAAACTGACGAGATGGTATAGGAGTGGGGACCTGGGCCAGACCCAGAGTTCTCCAGAGCTCATCCTGTTACAATGTCTCCAGTTCTCCATCCACTCATCTGGCTATCCATCCTTCCATACACCCTCCACTGCTTATCCTAAACACACCATCACCCACACAGGAGGCCCTAGCCAGAGACTGGGGCTTCTGCGGCAGAGGCAGGCAGGGAGCAGTCGCTGGTGGTGTGAGGATGTGCTGAGAAGCATGTGACTGTCACTGAGTCAACTTCTTGCTCTGACAAGATGCCTCAGAAAAAGCAAAGGAAGAACGGTTTCTTTTGGCTCACAGGTTCAGAGAATCTGGTCCATTGTTGCTTGGTCCCATCCTATGGGCCTGTGGTGAGGTGGAACATAGTGTTAGGGAGGGCATGGTAGAACAGAGCTGCTCCACCCAGGACAGCCAGAAAGCACTAGGGGAGGGGCCTGGGACAAGGCATAACTCCCAAGGATATGCGCCAGGACCCCCCTCCCTCCAGCTAGCCCCTCCTATCACCTCTCCTCAAGTTATGAAGCCATCAATGGGTTAATCCATCAATGAAGCTGGAGTTCTCATGAGCCTGTCATTCCCAAAGGTCTTGCCTCTATACACTGCTGTGTAAGAACCAAGCCTTCAAATGCAAGCCTTCAATGCCTTTGGGAGGATATTTCAGATACAAAGCATAAGCCACTTCTCAGTGCATTTTGGGGTTGATTAGAGACCCACTCCCCACTCCCACAGCAGTTCATGGAGCAGTTCTCTGTACCAAGTGGTCCTCACCCACAGAGGGGCCTTTCCAGATATGCAGAAAACACAGGAACAGACAAGGCTCCCATTGTGCATGCCTCTAGATGGGCCCCGGTCAGTAGGGAGCAAGGCCACCTTCCAACTCTGTTAGGACGGAGTGCACACTGGTAGTGCCAGAGCCCTGGGAGAGGTAGCTGGGATCTCAGATTAGCCAGAGGACTTGCTGTGACTCCCTATTCCCCCAGGGGAGGATGCGCATGGGGAGTGGCAGCGAGGGACAGCCTAGGCTGACAAGTTCCTGCATTTCTGGTAAGTCGGTCAGATGGATTTGAAGGAAGGCATCCTGGGGAACTAAATCATGTTTCTTGGTGACAGCCTCTCCAAATGACCACCAGAGAGCAGCAAAGTGTAACCCACACAGCACAGCCCGTCAACCCTGGCCAACAGCAGGTGACAATGATCCCTTAGAATCAGCCAGCTAGGCCACTGTCCCAGAGACAGAGGCCCACCCTACTGGTGCCAAGTTCAGGTCTTGCCACTCTCTTCATTATCTCCTCCAGGGACTTTGAGTAAGTGACACCCCCAGGGATGCCTCTCCTGGTGCTCAAGGAGACTGTGTAGTGCCATATACCAGACAGAGTTGGAGAATGGGATGGTAATGGTGGTGGTGGTGGGGTCATTGTTCACATTCTTTAGGAAGCTGAAGCAACAGGCTCCACATGCACCTCCATTCATTCAGGTAGGTTTGCTAAGCACCTACTGTGTGCTGCCAGTGTTCTCAGTACTTAGAATACAAAAGGGAAGCGATCTCCTACACTCCCATGGAGATGTCCAGACCTCGGGGGTCAGCGGACTTGGTCTGCAAGGAGCCAAATATTCTGAGCCAGAGCGACATAGCCACGTAGCCACTCAGTTCTGCCTTCATGGCAGAACGCAGCCCGAGACAGGATGTAAACAAGTATCCATGGCCGGGTTCCAGGGACATGATCTGCGGATGCAGAAGCTGAGATGTGATCTAATTTTCAGCTGTCATAAATCTTTGCTTCCTTTTGATTTCTCTGCCATTAAAACATGGAAAAGTTTATCTTTAGCTCTGGAGCTGGGTTAAAACAGGCTGCAGATTGGATTTGCCTCACAGGCTGGAGTTTTCTGTTCCCTGGTCCGAGGACGGGGACAAAGCATCACCACCAGAATCAAACTGTGGGGGTTACAGATGCAACTGGTGGGTGGGAGTGTCGGGGCTAGCCTCAGTGTTGAATGGGGTGTCAGGGGGAGTGTCGGGGCTAGCCTTAGTGTCAAATGGGGTGTCGAGGGAGTGTGGGGGGGCTAGCCTCAGTGTCAAATGGGGTGTCGGGGGAGTGTGGGGGGCTAGCCTCAGTGTTGAATGGGGTGTCAGGAAGTATGGGGGGCTAGCCTCAGTGTTGAATGGGGTGTCAGGGGGAGTGTGGTTGGTGATTAATCAATTGTGCAGCATGCATGAGGCCTTGGGTTCCCTCCCCAGCACCGATAAAGAAATGGAGTGGTCAGAGTGGGCCTCTCTGTGAAGGCAAGGTGTAGTAAAGACTTTTAATTCTAAGGTATTTTTGATTGCACAGGTAAAACAGGACTCATTTTAGCTACAACAAGCAAACAGATGGAACTAAAGTCTCTTTAGGTCCCCTCTGTTCTCCAGCCCCCTGAGGCTGTACAGTCACCCCTCAGTGTCTGCGCAATATCTACGGTGCTCAAGGCCCTGTATATGGCAGTATCTGCACAGAGCCTACACATGTCCTCCAGTGCTTTCTCTTCTTTTTAAATGTGTGTGTGTGTGTGTGTGTGTATGTATGTGTACCATGTGCATTCCTGGTGCCTGCAGAGGCCAGAAGATTTCCCTGGGACTGGAGTTACAGATGGTTGTGAGCCACCACATGAGTGTTGGGAATTGAACCCAGGTATCCTACAAGAGTACCCAGTTGTTCTTAGCTGCTGACCCACCTCTCTAACACAGTTTATTTTAACTAACACGTAAAGGCATAAAATTGCATACATTAGTGGAGTGCTATGTAATATTTAAATTTTTATTAGATTTCTAATTTTATGTGTGAGTATTTTGCCTGTGTGTATGTATGTACACCATGTGTGTGCTTGGTGCCTGTGGCAGTCAGAAGAGTGTTTGATCCCCAGGAACTGGAGTTATGGATGGTTGTGAGCCACCGTGTGGGTGCTATGAATTGAACCCAGGTCCTCTGCAAAACCAACAAGTGCTCTTAACCCAGCCATCTCTCCAACACCCACAGTGCTTTGATTCATGTGTACACTACATTGAATGTTTGAGGATTGACATACTTATTTCTTCAAGTATTTGCCATTTCTTTATGATGGAAAATTTCAAAATCCCTTTTTCTAAGTTTAAAAAAGATTTATTATTTTAATGTGTGTGTGTGTGTGTGTGTGTGTGTGTGTGTGTGTGTTTGTGTGTGCACACATGCCTCTGAGTATCCACAATGGCCAAAAGAGAGTAGCAGATTCTGTGAAGTTGGAGTTATAGGTGGTGAGCTACCCAGAGTAGAAACTGGGAACTGAACTCAGGTCCTCTGAGCAGAGTCCTAGTGAGGTTTCTGTTGTTGACATAAAACTATGAACAAAACATCTTGGGGGAAGAAAAGGCTTCTTTGGCTTACAGGTTACAGTCCATCGCTGAGGGAAGTCAGGGCAGGAACTCAAGGCAGGAACCTGGAGGCAGAACTGAAGCAGCAACCTCAGAGGAGCGCTACTTCCTGGTTTCATAGCTGTGGAGTGCTCAGCCTGTTTTCTTCTCTTTCCTTTCCCTCCCTCCTTCCTTTATTCCTTTTCTTTCCTTCTTTCTTTTTTAAGACAGGGTTTCTCTTTGTAGCCCTGGCTGTCCTGGAACTTGCTCTGTAGACCAGGCTGGCTTCTGCCTCCCGAGTTCTGGGATAGCTTTTCTTTTCTTTTCTTTTTTCTTTTCTCTTCTCTTCTTTTCTTTTCCTTTCCGTTCTTTTCCTTTCCTTTCTTCTTCTTCTTCTTCTTCTTCTTCTTCTTCTTCTTCTTCTTCTTCTTCTTCTTCTTCTTCTTCTTCTTCTTCTTCTTCTTCTGTTTTTTTTAGGGACAGGATTTCTCTGTGTAGCCCTGGCTGTCCTGGAACTCACTCTGAAAACCAGGTTGGCTTTGAACTCACTGAGCTCTGCCTCCTAAGTGCTGGCAATAGCTTATTTTATTATACAGCCCAGGACCACCTGTCCAGGGGTGTCATGCCCCACAATGAGTTGGGCCCTCCCAGATCAATCAGTAATCAGGAAAATGCCCCACAGATATGCCCATAGGCCAATCTAATGCAGGCATTTTCTCAGTTGAGGTTCCCTCCTTCCCAAGAATGTTCAGGTTGTGTCAAGATGACAAAAACTAACTGGTGGGGCTGGAGACATGGTTCAGAGGTTAAGAACACCGGCTGCTGTTCCAGAGGTCCTGAGTTTAATTCCCAGTAACCACATGGTGGCTCACAACCATCTAGGATGAGATTTGGTGCCCTCTTCTGGCATGTAGGCATACATGCTGGAACACTGTATATATATACATAATAAATAAATCTTTAAAACAAACAAACAAAAAACCCTAACCAGCATAAACAGCAAGCACTCTAAACCACTAAGCAGTCTCT